AAAAAAAAAAAAAAGCTTACCAGATAATGCCAGGCGTCCTTCATCCTTCTTCTCTCACTGCTATTAGAAGGATGTGGTGGAGGACATAGAAATCACCATCCTGTATGGTAGTGCATTTTTGCTGTGAAAAGTTTCACAGTTCTAATTTTGTATAATTTTATCATTTTGCCTGGGTTCATGAGCTTTTTTTTTATATTGAGATTACTTTTAATGGGAAGCAGATTAAATCAATGGTACAGGTAATATAAATAACAAATATTCCTCAATAAATGTGGAGTGCAAAATCAAACACTATTTTGTTGCTGTAATGGAGGAGGTGTTACCCTTTAATGAATGCTAATAAATTAATGATAATTTGGAAAAAATTTCTCTGGTATGAGGACCTTTCTCCCAGCTTCAGTCTTGTTTAGCTTTTTAAGAATTAAGTCATTGAAAGATCATGGTTATGGGTAGAAATGTTCACTGTGTATTTCACACCTGAAGTAACACACATTGCTGTCTAAAGGGAGTCTCATAAGACCTAGAATCGAAATCTTCATTAGTCAACCTGCCTGCTAAGAAGGGGAGTGCTGCTAAATGAGAATTTGTTGTGCAGCTACACTCTCTTGTTTATAAAACTTTGTGAGACCAACTGACATTCGCAATTCTCCCACTTTTCCCATCGTTTTCTTCTCCTGCAGAACTTCAGTTAAAGATGGCAATGTTGAAATAATAGCACAATTTTTAAAGATGAGGAAAGGAAAATACATCAAAGTGGGAAAAACAGTCCCAGGGAAGATCAGTTTTTTCCCCTTTCTAAAATGCTTATACTTTTTATTTAACAAAATAAAACTAGTGGAAATCTTTTTAAAATAAAAAAAAGTTTGCTTTTCTATCATGAATCTGGACTCTGGAGGATTTGTAGGCTATCCATTATAATAAGACTTGTAATGATTCAGTTGCAATGGTGATGGCTGCAGATTGTTGTGAAGAAAATTATCTACGTGGTTGCTAAGAATAAGAGTTCACCGACTTAATTGTTTCTAGTCAAAATCAAGAATTATTGTTTAGTAAGATATCATCGGCAGAGAACCAGTTGCTAAATTTTTTCAATCCCACCCCTGCTTGCAAGTCTGAAGGCACTTGGCCCCTCATGGGCCTTTTATTACCAGAGAACTGGGGAGGGTCCCATCTGAGATGCTTTCTCCACCTCTGCCTTTCCTTTAGATTTAGTTCTCTTTTATCAGACTGTTGTCAAGGCTGCAATTCTTCCTTCTGTCTCCAAGGTTTTTCACAGCCCATTACATTAGAAATAAGATAAAAATACAGAGTTATTGAAAATACACATTTCAGTTTAAAAGGAACTCTCACTGAAAGAACTAAACAATTATATGAAGGGCTACATTTTGTCCCCTGGTATGTGGGCTGGCAGGCAGGCTGCAACCGTGGACCAGAAGGTGGGGATAGGGGTTCACCTGCCTATCAGTTGTAATTTGTTATAACAACTTTTATCTTTTCAGAGCTCAAGGAGGCTTTTCGGGAATTTGACAAAGATCGTGATGGCTACATCAGTTATAAGGACTTGGGAGAATGTATGCGAACCATGGGCTACATGCCTACTGAAATGGAACTCATAGAATTATCTCAACAAATCAGTAGGTACCTTCTTCTATAAGTAAACCTAATGCCTAAGGAATACTACGCAATAAGGGGTGTCACATTGAGAAATGTCTTCAAGTTATGAAGGAATAATAGTTATAATCAAATAAAAGATTAATAATGATAATAATGTATACATATATATTAGATTGATAATATGAGATTTTATATAAATTGTGAGGACTATGGAGAGGATGCACAAAAGTTTTGTAACCAACCGACACGCTGGATGTAACTGGAAGATGTTTTTATATTTTATGTTTTGTTTGTGTAAGTTTGTCTTTAAAAAATAAAAATTCTTTTAAAAAAATAAAATAGGAAGAAATGTCTTCCAGTTACATTTAATATAGATTCTGGGCTTTTCCTCACCCTCCCTCTTTATTTTGAGTGTTGGAATTATAAACAGCAATACCTTTTGGCTGCCTCTCATTCTTGAATTGCTTTTACAGCACAGATGTTAAAACTGACGTTCATCTCTTGATCCCTCCCAATCTTTCATCCACCTTGTTATGAAGAGCATCCTTGAAATTATCTGCTACCTTGACTAGGAATATCTTAGGCTGACAAGTATTAATGGAGGTATTAATGGAGAGAAAACCAGAACAGCACAAACGTGACAGCCAGTGTGGTCTAGCAATTAAAATGCTGGCCTGGCACCGTAGAGACCCACTTTCAAGATCTTCCTTAGTCAAGAATTACTCAGATTGATGTTGAGCCAATCACTGCCTCTCAGACCAATCTACTTCAAAGGATTTTCAGGGTGGAGAAAAATGACAGATGGGCACAATATGTACAGATCTGTAAGCAACTAGATGAAAGATAGCATATAAATTAAACAAATCAATAGAACCCCACATCTTAAATCTTTGCTAGCATTGTGAACTGTACCTAGAAACCCATGGTAAGAAATGCAAAGTCTCCAAAATAGATGTCATATTATCCTGTCAATGACCACCAGTTAGCAAGCAATGTACCTGCATGTTGAACTAACTGCAGCTTTCAGGTGGTCTTTAATGGTAACCCCATATAAACCATGTTGCAGAAGTCCAGTTAAGTGGAATAAGTAAGAGTATATGAGTCATTGTAGAAAATCCATGAAACCTTTTGGGTTCTTTTTTCTCACCTCCACAGAGCATTACTGTTTTGTTTTGTTAGTGTTTAGACCAAGGTCACTTTTAAACCAGTACCATTTTCTTTCCCAAATCCCTCAAAAACTCTTTGAAGTCAATCCCCAATCATTTCCCCTTCTGCCAGCATTGAAATGCTGAGAATGGCAGAGAATGCCATGAACTGATCAGTTTTTCCTCAGGATGACCAGTAAGGAAAAGCCAAACAAACAAACAAGTAAAATTCAAACTGCTGAAATTCCTGGAATGAAATCTTCTCTCTCACACACACATTCCACTCAAATGAGAAATAGCTAGCCCTCCCAGAATGCTCACCTATCTGTTGAAAATGCAACCAAAAACATGGAACATACTAACATATGTGGTGGATATGCACATCTGCAAAAAAATATTGGAAAAAAAATTAAAGATTGGCTAGAGGAGATTACTACACACCAAATTGCACTAAAACCTGAATTATTTTTGTTAAGAATTATAAAAGGAAATTATGAAAAAAAAATTAGATATTTAATTCTACACATAATTACGGCAGCGAGAATTACATTAGCACAAAACTGGAAAAATAATTATACACCAACAGAAGAAAATGTAATTAAAAAAAATATTGGAATGTGCAGAGATGGATAGGCTCATAAAAGAACTAAAAGAGAAAGAAGAATCTGAATATTACTCCATATGGGATTTATGATATAATTGGGTAGAGGAAAGGGGGGGAGCGGGAAAGCAAAAAAGAAAGGAAGAAAAATCAACAAATTAATAAACAACTACAAAACCGGAAAATGATTAAAAGATAGAAATATGAGATAGATTGTAGCAAATAAATATTATACAAAATGATTCAAATGTAGTAAAGGCTGTTATACATAGAATATATAGAATATTACATATAGAATGAAAAAAATGTATGAAATAATATAAATGCGCATATATATAAAGTTATAGTTATATAAGATTTATTTGTATAGATAAAAGAATCACAACAGATATGTAAACAATGTAATGTGGTGCAAAGATGTGATGTTTGTACAAACAAAATAAAAAGTTAAAAAAAATAGTGGAACCAACTGTTGATGAAGAAATATCTTGGTCTTTTCCTAGTCATATGTATGCCATATGTATGATACTGTTGCTTCAGACTATAGGAAAAGCACAGAAAGTATCAGAGCATCACATGCTCTTCAACAGAGCTGGCTTTAAAGATTCAGTTCAAGAAAGGAAATGTCTTTGATGTCATTATGGTCATAAAATAATATTCAGCTTGCTTTATTACTATTGAATGTTAAAATAAAATTCCAATAATAAAAAAGAGAGAAATAGCTAGCACCCCCATTTCCCCATCCATGTGTTCAGTTTGAATTGTATGAATAGTCTGAATGTTGTTGTTTAAACAATCTGAACAGTTGCTAGAAAACGAGCCACTCTGGTCTCTACGGCTTCTGTCAGGGGTGTCGACGGGTATGTGGGTGTCTTTGTGTGTCTCAAAAAAGTCTAGATGGCAGCCGCTGCTATGTAATCAAAATCTCACCCTGTGGAGACCCCTGGATTTTTCTGAAAAGATTGTGAATTGTGAGGCTGCAAGGGCAGCAAGTTAGCTATTTTGCAGCAAACTAAGGCACTTTTCCTAATGGGCTCGAACCATGGTGGTTGGTTGCTGTGCTAAAATGGGTGAATTCAGCCAAGATCGATCCATGTTGTTTTGACTTTTTCAAGACCATTTCAAGTATTCCCAGGAGTCCCGTAATCCAGGCAAAGCAAGTAGATGTGAAATGAAGAATAACGCTTTTGCTTTTTCGCTTCTTTTCTGCAGGGACAAGCAGACTGCAAAGCTCCAGGGGGCTATTTAGGTTTTTCTCCCCCACCTTTTTTTCTCAGTGATTGCTTTGAAACAAAAGATCCTTAGAGGATACCTGTTAAATGGAGGTGGGAGGTTTGCCTTGAATTCAAGAGAAGGGGTGAGGCAAGAATTTCCATCAATGAAGAAAAGAACTATGCACAAACAGATCGTTTCAAAGCATTGGAAACAGTAATACTACCCTTGCTGCAATTGCAGCTGAGCTGAAAATACTGGCTGAGCTTATTGAAAATAGACAATGGAATGGGATGGCAGGAGCCAAAACCGTATTCAAATGAGGATAGAAGCCTCACATTAAAGATGTCCTGAATGTGCAAGTGGTTATTCTAAGGAAAAACTACTGAATGAGTAGACTGTCTAACAGGGTTCAAATACTGATTATTTAGAAAGCACCTGAGGGCAGGACAAGAAGCAGTGGATGGAAACTAATCAAGGAGAGAAGCAACCTAGAACTAAGAAGAAAATTCCTGAGAGTTACAACAATTAGTGGAACAACTTGCTTCCAGAAATTGTGAATGCTCCAACACTGGAAGTTTTTAAATAGCGATTGGACAACCATTTGCCTGAAATGGTATAGGGTTTCCTGCTTGAGCAGAGAATTGGACTAGAAAACCTGCAGGGTTCCTATTATAGATTGGTAACAGTCACTTTACTCCTGTATATTTTAAATAAATATACAGAATCCACATAAAAGGGCATTCTGTTGGAGGATATGATAGTTAGAAAAGTGAAATTCAGTTTCTTCCACTATGAGATGGCCTTGGCTCATGATATAAAACATTTAACTTTGTGTTGCCCTGTTTCTTCTGAACATGCCTTTATATGTCTACAGCTGGAGGAAAAGTGGATTTTGATGACTTTGTGGAACTGATGGGCCCTAAGCTGTTGGCGGAGACAGCAGACATGATTGGGGTTAAAGAGCTGCGGGATGCTTTCAGAGAGGTGAGCTACAGTTATAAGGATGAGAGGTAGTATTATATGCATGCCCGCTATCTTCCCATAATACATTATGGGGTAATATGTTAATAATGATTTACTGAATAAACCACATTTGGGTAGTTTCAGACATAGACTGTTGCTTACAAAACAATTCTGGATGAATTAATAGCAATAGCAGTTAGACTTATATACCGCTTCATAAGGCTTTCAGCCCTCTCTAAGCGGTTTACAGAGTCAGCATATCGCCCCCAACAACAATCCAGGTCCTCATTTTACCCACCTTGGAAGGATGGAAGGCTGAGTCGGCCTTGAGCCGGTGAGATTTGAACAGCCGAACTGCAGAACTGCAGTCAGCTGAAGTAGCCTGCAGCTCTTTAACCCCAATCATGTCTGCTGTCTCCGCCAACAGCTTAGGGCCCATCAGTTCCACAAAGTCATCAAAATCCACTTTTCCTCCAGCTGTAGACATATAAAGG